AATTTCATGTTTTTTTCGGTGAATTTATTCCTCTTTTTTTGGGATATAATTTAAGCAATTTTGCTGTTTTAATTTTCAAAAGCTTTTCTAAGAAAAATTATAATCGTACAATCTAAAAAATTATTTCATCAAGAATGTGGGGCTTTACTGATACAGTAGAGGAAGCAGACAAGATGGCACATTACAAATTTTAAAGTAAAAACCGATTTCACTCTTCGTTAAAGACGATAAGGGGGAGGGGGGAGGCATTCAAAGCGGTTGCAACTGTTAACAGCAACCACGCATTGGCATGGCTGCCAACAGCAACAATGCTAACTGCTTAGAAGCAAGCTTGATGATAGTTTGACTTCTTCTTAAGTGCCAGTACCAATTTGTCGTTAAAATGAATGTATAAATCTTTGTTCTACTGGTGGAGTAAAACTCTTTGGTCACGCGCAGAACAGTGGCTGCAAAGTGAAGAGGGATGACTGAAAATAAAAGATCCTGGCATAATCACACGCAGTTTGCAGCGTGAAAATGCATTTATTAACAACAGAGCTCAGAACGAATATTTCATCTGCTGCTGTAGCTTCCAGTAGAAGTATTTTAGAGCAAAAAAATTTTACAAATTTCTTAATTCTTTGTCTAGTAAGAAAAAATGTACATTCTGAAAGAGCGACGGAGCAAATGGTGCTTGGCTTGTTTCACCACGGCCATTTTAAACTTTCCGTTAGGTGAGCGACGTGCAGGATATCATTGCGACCACATAAGAAAAAATAAAATCTGACGGACTGGGCATGCTGCTTGCGTTGTCGGTAGTCAGTGGATGTCGCGCAGTGGTGACCGTAGCCTATGAGTGGCCCAGGATCCAAAGGCCTGATATAGCTGCATCTGGCATGTGAAAGCGCCCCAGTAATATTATTAGCACGGAAACAGCTAAACTCATAACCCGGCCAGCCTTGATATTCTTAGTAGACACGTTAAAAGAAGAGTTTGCAGGTTCGGCAGCGTATAATTTATTTTGCATTACCGCTGTGTGTATTATGGTTGTACCATCGCCGCGTGTTAAACGAATCCGCGAAATATCCGTTTTTGCTGTCACTTCGCTATTCAGTTGCTTGGCATACATATGGCTTCTAATTGTAAAATTTAAATTTTGCTCGCTTTCTTAAAATAGTTATTTGGATAAATTTTAGGTTTGTGGTAAGACTGCGCAGTGTTTCCGTGGGAAAGAATAGTCGGAAAGTACGTCAGGATTGCCAGTAGGCTGACCATCAGGGGATGCGGCGTTGATCGAAGCAATTGGAAAATTGAGATCTACGTAGCTGGAGAAACCTAGTGCAAATTGCAGTTGATTCTTGTGTTCCAAATATTCAATACTAGTCCAAAATGTGGAAGGCATTTCTTGCCAGTAAGTGTGGGGAAAAGGTTAAATCAACAAGAATATGGAATCCCGCCAAAGTTTTTTTCGTTTTTTTTTGCGCAATTGACAGGCTTTGCATCCAGTTTGTTCACCAGCAGGAGTATTATAATAGAATATCGGCAAGAATACGAATTGTTTTTTTGTGGGAACACTGCTGGTAGAAAAACCTAACACAAAATACCAAGCCTGCTCCAAGACTGCTCATAATTCCTGAAGGACAACGATTTTTTCATCCCACTGTCGCAGCATTTGAATAGCACCACGGATAGCTAAAGAAAGTAATTAAGAAAATTCGACAAAAGATTTTTTTCCAGTTCTAATTCTTATTTCAGATTTTGTTAGTAATTTCACCAAATGTCGTGGAATTGTGGGAAGCACTAATAACATTTGGTTTCTTTGTTATCTTCGTGGTGGTCGCATATCTCGTGGACATCAAAATTTGGAGACGAAAAAAGGAGCGTCTGGAAGATGAATTGCAAATTGACGGCTATGGCGATGCTACCAGTCGTGCTTTGATCGAAAAGGAAGCTGATATTGATGCATGTCTGAAAAGACTTGCTGACCTAATGGCACCGGAAGCTGATTCGGTAATTTGTCTTTCTAAAACTAGGATATGTCAGCTTTTTTCCGCATGAGCTACTGAAGCGCACTTTATCCGGACTATCTAATTCCGAAGTTCTCCTTGCTACAGCACAAGCATTCTTTGATTATCATTTGCTGTTCAATTTATAGATAATTTAAAGCACCCATAGATAATTCAAACTAACGAGCTATAAAATAGAAAAACACACAGAATATCAAGACCGCTAGGGAATACCAAACTGACGCCGCAGACGTAGCCCTCCTCAAAGATAGTTATGAACCGGAAGGGAACCGAATCACTCACCTTCACATCCGAAAGCAACTTGCCACTCTCTGCACCATAGACCTTTGAACTCACGCACTTTTCTGAGTACATCGAAATTCTGTACACATGACCCTGTCATACCATCTGGTAATTACACTTGTGCAGCTCACCCTTTCAACAGTTGGCTTTTCGCGGCTCTGAGACAGCCCGTGTTAGTGACATTGCTGGGATGCTTCCACACATCCTTTAAATCCCAAATTAAGGAAGAAGAAAAAAAAAATAAAAGCAGAAAACTAAATGTGTCAATGATTTG